AGGGATGAGCTGAGAAAGCATACAGAAAGGGTAAAATCCATGGCAAAAACTGCCAGCACTGTGTGGGGGTCGCAGAAGTTGGGGTGAAATTCTCTGCTGACTCCAGGGAGCCAAGACATGTGATGGAGGCATCTGAGCCAGAGACCCTCTGAAGAACCCTGGGGTCTCCATTGCACCCTGGAAACCCCCAGCAGCTTCTGAGGGCAGATACAGCTCACAGCTGAGTCCCAAATCCATGTTAGACATTTGGATGACCTAGCTTAATAGGAAAATTTAGACAGTGCTGACTCCCTGACAGGAGCTCTGCCTTTCTGAAAAATCAGACCCTTGCAATCGTGGTGCCTGAGAGGAGTTTTACTGGCTAAATTTGGGGCTGACCACCTTAAAAACTGTGGTTTAGGTTTGGTCTTTCAGCAGAAATACATCCATGAGCAATCCTGAAGGGCAGGTTTGGACTGTGGTTTTTTCAGAAGTGGCAGGGTTTGACACAATAGAGGGAAATTTGCACCCTATTAAAAACGACCCAACAAACAGACTAAAATCCAGTTCTCCATCACAAGTCTCAGACTAAGAACAAAAGTTGCTAAATTCATTTGTGCAGCCAGACCTTTGCATATCTCCAAGACAGAGGAAAGAAAAGGAATAATATGCTTTCCCCATAAATATTTTCAAACTGTTGAGATAATTTCCTGCTTCAGATCATTTCTCAAGAGTGAAAAGTCCTCCAGGCTCTCAGGTCTTGAACATTAAAACAAAGTTCAGTCCTGCTCGCTCATTCATGTGCCCCGTTCTGATTTTAAGCATACTAAAATGAAAAGGCTTTTTTCTAATAGAAAAAGAGGCATTCTCCAGTTAAACATACACTTCTCAGAGCATCACAAATCAGTGGCCTGGATTTGTGCCCCAGGAGCTCTCATTACAATTTTTCACAGGCACTTGGGGTATTGGGGGGCTCTCCCCACTGTGGATGCTTTAGTGTCTGGTAAGGGCTGTGCACACCAAAGGGATCCCTCTCTCCTGGAGTTTCCCTCTCATCTACCCAACTGCCTCATTTAGGGACAGCAGATCACATCTCACCTTAATTTGTGTTGGATGTCCAAGTTTTGGTGTTTGGCTGGAACTTCCCTCCAACCTGTCCCAGCATCATCCTGCTCCTCCTCCCTGCACCAGCAGGCCCCAGTTTGACTTTTACCGGGCAGCAGATCCCAGGCTGGTTACCCTCCCAGCAGGGTTTGGATGGTGCCTGGAGCCCCCCTGCACTAGGATGTCCCCTCCTCCCTGCACGGGGCATCCTGTCCCTGTGCAGCCCACCCCAGAACATGAGCAAACTGCCACCGTCCCCCAGCTCCGCCAGTGCTGGATGGGAAGAGACTGAGCTTTGCCAAAACCTGATGATTTTTCACATGGGAAGGGAAAAAACCCCAACCAAACAACAAAGCTTTTGCTTCTTTTCTCCTCCTTCCCTAACACTTCTGATTTGAGGTTTTTGATTAAAAGTCCTACACTCCCCCCCTGCCTTGAGCTGCCTCTGGGAACCAGCCACTTGCAAACCTGCTCACAGCAGAAAACTTTATGTCAGTCAAACACAGGAAAAGTTTTAACATTAAGTCAGTGTGGCTGGTGATGAACACAGAGCAGAACGGCATTTAGGTGGGAAAACCTGCACGCTGCAGCCCCAAGGGATGGCTTCAATATTGCTGGGGGAGAGGAAAAAGAAATATATTAAGCAAGAGCCTGAAGAAGGAACAGGACAGAAAAGAGTTAAAGAAGAGCAGAGATGCAGGAGTTAATACAAAAATAAGCAAATCAGGGAAAGGTTACACAAGAAGAGGCAAAGGGCAGGAGGATGGGGAGGAACATGCCTCATGTTTCAGGCGTCCCCTCTGGGGCTGCTTGTGCTGGTTTCAGGCATCTCCTGCAAACCCCCATCCTGTGAGTAATCCTCCCCCATGTGAACGAATTGCTCTGATTTCAGTGGGACCACTTGGAAGAGAGGGGGAAGAAAAAACGAGGAAGAAAAGTTAAAAAAGCCTTCGTGATGAGTAAGATTTACAGAATCAGTCTCCTGGAGGACAGGCTGCAGAGCACAGAGCTCTCTTTTGGACACCACATAAATAAATAGCGATGCTGCTGCTTCCTTCCCTCATGAGGTAATGACTCGGCACAGCTCATCCAAAGCTGCCGTGGTTATTTTTACAGCCGTATCTGTCTGAGGTTGTCTACTGCCTCCCAAGCCGGGCTCCTGTGAGGACTCTGCAGCATGGCATTAGCTGTGTCCCCATGGGCACGCGTGATGTGCCCAAGGTTACAGAGTAGGCAAGTGGCAGAGGAGCTGGGACTCACCAGCCCTTGGTCCAGGACCTCACCAGGAGAAACCTCTGGCTAATCACTGATAGCTGGCTCTGACACACTGTGGGGAAAATCCTCTCTGGGTGTAGGGATGTACTTTCTCCCACTGGTCCCCAATGTTTTGTTGCAACACAGGGCCCTGTGAGTCCAGGACGACTGCCCTGGGCAGCAGCACTCTGCTTCTTGAATGTCTGACCCCATTTTGACTTTTCTATCTTCCAGAAAACTCTTTGAATCAGCAGCAACTCAACCCTCCTGGCGTGGAGAGGCAGGAGGTGGTCTAAGCAGTGTCTGCAGATGTACATTTGCAGTCCCTGTCCCGGAGGAACTGAACCAGTGCCAGCAATTATGAGCAATTAAAGGCAATTTGCAGTTCCCTGGCCAGTGCAAACACTTGCAGCCAGCAATTACAGGCTCTTCTCCTTCCCCAGGCATGGAGTAGCTGGACTGCTGGTGATTAATACTGTTTTTTCCAGTATCGTTCAAATTCCTTTGCGTTGTAACCCCAAACTGAGGAAAGATTCACTAGAGTCTCAAAGGGGGTGTGATTGAGGCAAACATCCCTTTGGCATCCCCACTGCCTTTCTGATAGGCACAGTTTGATTCACATAGCATGTTTTCATGCCCAAACTTCCCTGGGTGCAAGTGTTTGTCACCCACCACAATGCAGAATAACCAGCAGTCCTCTGCACTGAGCCGAGCACAGACCGTGAGGCACCCGAGCTGAGAAAACCTCACCGGTGGGGAAAGGAGGGTGCCTGGACCATCACTGGAGATCATAAGGGGGATAATGTCTGATTTATCCACTGTATCCTCATGCCTTGCTTAAAAGAGTCACTCCATAGAGGAAAATGCAATGGTGCAGTGAGTGAGTTGGGAGAGGAGCAAACAGGAATGATGTTGGTGTAAGAAAACGGAGTGTCTTTAATCTGTTAGTTCACACAGCACCAGGGGGAAGGAAAATAACTGCCATGATTTAGTGCTTTCAGAAAGACTTTAAGAAAAATCTTCCATTAGTGTCTCTGGCGGAGATGACCGGGAATAACTAGCAAAAATAAAGTTATTTTGTGTGGAAAAATCTGTCTGTGGAGGAGAAAACAAAGAGCAGGGTTATACGGTGTGGGTTTAATGGTGAATGAGGGCAGTAAAAGGGGTGCCT